ACCCGTTGCTCCTCCTCACGCCCTCACCCGCTCACTCTTCCTCACCCTCACCGCCTCGGCCTTCACGCCTCGCCTCCCGCCTCGCCCTCACCCGGCCTTCGCCCCATCACCGCCTCGCCCTCACTTCACCCCTTCCTCTCTCACCTCACCCCTATCCTGCTTCACCCTCACCCGGCCTCACCCCGCCTTCCCGGCTCTTCACCCGCCTTCACCCCCATCACTTCACCCTACCCCTATCTTTCTCACATTCACCTCTCACCCCCTTCAACGCCACTCACCCGTCGACCCTTATCCCGCCACCCTCACGCCGCTCATTCTCCTCCCTCACTGACACCCCTTACCGCACTCTCGTCACCTCCATTGCTCGCGTCAGTCCTTTCGCTTACAACTCTCTCACTCTCCTCACCCGTAACTTCCGCGAGTTCTGAAGGTTACGACATTGGGCTTCCCGTTCCATTGCAACCTGGGCCCCCTCTTACCCTGACCCTTGCCACTTGGACCAGAGTTTCACACACCCCTTCACCACCCGTTCCCACGGCACTGCCTCTGGCTTTCTTCCCACCTGCGCTTAGGACCGGCCCAGATCTTTCATGCCCACTCCAAGATTCCCTTCGCACATCCAGGCACATTTGCCTTCCTTACTTGGCTGGCTGTCATTCGTAGAGAGGAGAACCATCTCTTGCACCGGATCCCTCTGTGCCCTCACGTTCCTTGTTTGAGAGGGGACCAGGCTTCTATTGGAACTCTTTGGTCCCAGCAAGACCGCCTCAGGACCACACCAGATCTAGGGCTCGACTCCCTCAACCACCCGTCCTTCACACCAAAGTGATACGCACCAGACCCACTACTCCCGCCCCATCCTCCCGCCCCCCGGCTCTCCAGCCCCCGACGGCCTGCTCCGCCACCTCCTCCGGCCCACACACCCTCCCGCCACACACTCCGTCCGCGGGAGGAGCACGGGGTGTGGGGTGAGTGGAGTCGGGTCGAAGCCAAGGGTCTGGTTTGGGGTTGGTGCCGCCGCGAACGCCAGGACAGGGTCAGGCGGAGCCCAGCCCTCAGGGCGCGTCGGGAGGGCCGGGGTCCGGGGCGGCGCGGCCTCGCTCACCTCCGGCTTGGCCCGCGCTCCAGTCCTGCTCTGGCGCCCCCGGCGGCCGCTTGAGGAACAAGACCGCTCCTCACGAGGGATGCCCCGCCCTTTCCGTTAGCGGACCCGCCCCGGAAGTGGCCTTTCGCCCTCATTGGGTGTCCTCGGGAAAAGAGGCGGGTCATCCCGTGCTGCTCCCGCCGGTCGGCGGCGTCCGCGTCTGGGACTGGCAGGTGCGGTGCTGGGGACGTTCTGAGGTTGAGGGAGAACCCTGCGGAGATGAAGAGCTTCCCGGCCTGACAGTTTTGCCCCCACCTCCTTCTTGAGCTTAAGGATTTACACGCAGGGCCCCGTTTGCCTGCTGTGTCCCCAGTGTCCCGGACAGCGCCCGGTACCAAAGGTGCTGGTAAACATTTGCCGAATGAGGAGCGAACGCCCAGCTAGTTCCACTGTCACAGCGACCATGTGTGGCGGACATTGTCTGGCATGTGTCTTACAGAGGAGGCAGCCCAGGCTCAGGGAGACGAGGCAGAGGTGCACGCAGGTCCATGTGGGCTGGAAAGTGCTGGGGTCTCCCGGGCGCTCCTGGTCTCCAGGCAAGAACTGGAAGCAGAGCCACTCAGCACCTAGAGGGGCAGTGACAGAAGGCTGCGGCTGAGAGGAGGCTGACCAGAGGCCAGTCTGAGCTCAGCCTTTTTTTCAGAGGGCCATGGGCACCCTACAAGGGTGGTAAGTAGGCGAGTGGCAGAGCTAAAAGGTCTCTGGCTGCCGAGGCGGGTGGCGCCGGAGCCGGCCGTTGCTGTTGTTTGGCTGAGTGGTGGACAGGGTCAAAGCCATTCCAAGGTCGACTTGAGAGGGCTTGGTTATGTGGGAGGGAGGGAGGGAGAAAGAAGGAACGGGCTGATGGCCGGGGTGATACCACTGGCAGAGGTGTGGAAGAGTGGGAGAAGCTAGCTTGGAAGGTTAACTTTGATTTTGAACACCTTGTGTTTGAGAATCCTGACAAACCTGAGACCCCCTGAATTTTCTCTCAGGGATTCTGATTCTTAACAGCCTGATTGCAGAGGAGGAAAAATGGCTGGAGTTGAGCCAGACAGTTCTGGGCAAGGAGTGAGCATTCGCCTGTTTATTGAGGAGGCTGCTGCCTGGGCCACACTGCCTCCCCCAGCTGCCAGGTTCCTGCCCCGTTCAACCTGGTTTTCTGGCCATCCCTTTCCACCTGCGAGCTGCTCTTCACACTTCCATTTGCTTATACAGCCCAGAGCCGATTTCTGTTACAGCACCCCGGAGAAACATGAGTCAGGAATAATTTCTTTTTTTTTTTTATAGGATAGGCTGGCTGTTGGTCAGATTAAAATCCAGTTGGGCTGAGGATGGAAGGCTCTGGCTCCTATGTTGATCAGGACCTGGACAGGACCTGCCTTCAAGAGTTAGTACGCAGCTGCAGCCACGAACGACCAATAAAGTAACGATGGAGAGAAGGACTGTGGGAAGGCTTGTGCCTCAAGCCTAAAGGTGTAACAGCATCCCTCCACAGCTGGCCAAGACTTGTATTCAGAGAACCTGAGAAAGTAGAGTCTGCTGTGTGTTCCAGGGTTAGTAAGGGAAACATTGTAGTGACAGTGGGTTCAGATGACACGAAGGGCATGGGGAAAGCCAGGCCTGACATTTCTTTCCGGGGCATATCCAGAGCCATGCCATCATTGGGCCTGGGAGGTCTGCAAGGGTAGCCCACTTTCAGGCTCTATGAGCAGGTATTTCAAAGAGCCC